TGTCAGGAGGGGAAGCCCAAATACTGCCTGCCCTGCCAGGCTGCTTGCAGGCCCACCACAGGGTCCATCAGTGGCCCATCTCCACACGCCTAGAGGAGCACAGGGGCACAAGCACAGGCAGGAGCCCAAATTAAGGACTCCCAAGGAACAAAGGGAGACACAAGGGCCTCCCTCATCCAGGCCTCTCTCCGTATTGTCCTAGGAGAGCCTTAGCCCTGGGGTTCAGGCATAGAATGAATGACAGACACAATGCCTCAACCCAGTTGCTGGAAGGATCCACCTTGTACGTGTGTGCGTGCATATTCTCACTAGTGGACCTTCATCCTGCTCTGCCAGAGAAGGGAGGAGGATGAGGCCGTTGTGCTGTCTCTGTTAGTGTCAGTGCTCTGAGTATCTGTGATCTGTGTGGCCAGCCGTGTGTGCATGTGGTGTATACATGTGGTCTTGCGCATACGTCTGCTGGGAACACGTCTCCAGAATCACCACTGGTTGGACCTGGAGAGCATGGAGAGGCAGCAGCTTCATCTTTCTTAGACTGTTGGATCCAGTGCTATGTATTTGCCTCAGAAGGTCAGAATGCAAACAGGGAGTAAGAATACATGGTCTAAAGACTTCTAAACTTGAATTCACTGTGCAGATGAAGGGAAAAATGATACTTTTCACAAGTACAGTAGATAGAATAACGATCAGCAAACATTATCTTTGAGTGCCGTTTTTCTTTTCTTTGAGCTGTAAGACTATATTAAAAATTTCCTGCCCTGGCTGGTCTCTCTCACCTCTTCATAAAGGGTCACCATCCTTTCATCTTTGCCAACTTGATTTATGCCACTGCTTTTACTGACTCTCTGAAACAGTCTTTTCAAAAAAAAAAAACCCCACCCCACGTTCCTAAATGAAAGTCGTGGTGTTTTGAATCAGCTCCATTCTGCTTTGGAGCAGGACCTGACCAGTAGACTGTTTGTCAAACAGAGACACAGCTCACTTGAGGTGATGCTGTCTGTAGTGGGAGCAGTTGTTGGGATTGTGGATTTAGGGGGAAAGGGTTGGAGTACTTATTTGTGTAGAGAAACAGAATTAAGGGAGGGAGAGAGAAGCAAGAAAGGTGAGGATTGGAGAAAGGCTGAAGAGAAAAATTGTAGGAGGGGAGTTGGCAAAGGAAGCGGAGCTTACAAGGAAGAGAGCACAAGAAATATTGAGCTAATAAGAGGAAGAGAGCATCCAGAGGCCCACCTTGGCAAGCGTTAGGATCCATAGGCAAATACACATATCCTCCTAGATACCTTCCCTGTCTTTTCCAGTCAGTGAGTGGCTCACTCTTTTTCTCTCTTTAAAGGTAAGTCTGCAACACTGATCCTACATTCAGGAGTTCATCCCTACATGGCCCTTGCTCTGCAAGATGCTGTCAGAAATATGTCTCACCAAATAATCATTACCTCCCCTTTCTCCTTCGTTTTCTGCAATACCTGATAAGGATGCTTGTTTGTCTTTTCCTGATTTGATGGGAGTATGTAGGGCTTGCCAAAGAATATCTAGGCACCAGCAGTGCTAAGTCCTGATTTGAGGTGGACTTGCATTTTAGGCAGCTGTTTTGATTGTGAACTATTCTCAACTTCATATTCTATTATTGCCTGGAGACCTATGCTGATTCAGGTCTGCTTTGCTTCAATGTTAAAACAATACCTAGGAAGACAGGACTTTCACTCCTGAAGAATATGTCATGTCAAAAGCATAGACAGTTGTCTGTATGTGTATACACATTTGCACACATTTTGGTTTTTATATATGCATCCATTTTGTATAGATTGTTTCACATATCCTCATTTGTTCCTTGAGTAACAGCTGTGCAATATTAATTACTTATAGTTTGTAATGAAATGAGCAGATGATCATTAATTCAGCCTCCCTTACTGTTTTTGAATCCTCTGTTCTGTAGGCCTAGAACTTTTTGGTATTATTTAGACTTCAGGAATCTGAGTGAATATAGTTAGTATTTGCTGGAAAATTTATGGAGCTGTGAAAAGGGAATACAGGCTGAAATAAGCCTCTCGAAGATCTACTGTTAAGGCCATGCAGATAAGGGAAGCAGCTTGAAAACTGCTTCTTTTGAGGCAGTATGCAGATTCTTCTGATCCTTATTCAGATATGATGCCCTTGACTTCATGGAAACCTGGCCTGAACAACGGTGGGAAGATGACATCCATCAAGCATAAATATGTGCTTGCTCACACACATTTGTATTTTATTAGAAATTTTGCACAATTCAATATGGTGTATTTGTGTGGTTATGTCTTAATTGAGTGCTAATTGACTCATTATTTTGTACAGATACTGAGAATGTTATCGCAGGTATAGACTTGCATACGGGCTTATATATATATATATAGTGATGTTATGTGCTTATATGTATATAGTCAGTTACAACATCGGTTTTAGCTATCTTGTGTGAAGCCAGGTCAAACACTTTACTACATAACAAGTCCACTAAGTATAAAACTCTGACTCAGTTCAGTTACATTAATTTGAAGCAGAATTTCTTGAAGTTACAATGATGAAATATTTGTAGTTAGTTTTCTCATTGTCTTCTTTTCCTCCAACTTCAGTTTGTCTATGCTGAAATTCAGGAAGGTAGCTCTTGAAAAAATACAAATAAAGCATCGCTTTGTCTGAATAAATGATGTGACAGCATAACAAAATTGTTTGCCTGCTAGCTTGTATTAATAAAATAAAGTGTGTTGTCAAAGTCTGCCAATATTCGAATAAGAACAAAACCTCAAATCAACACATCATCAAATCTCCTTAAAATTACTTCTGGTGTATGTCAGGGTGGGGAGGGAATACACAAATGGAAAATGTGATTTTAATTACCATTGCCATTCTATATTTATGTAGGCAAACTAAATCAAATGTGCATATTTGATAGCCTTTGTCTTTTTTCACATGTACAACACCAAAAATTAGTTACAGGTATTGTATTGCTTTCGACTGTTGCTGACTAAAATCATTTAGCCTTTTGCCTTGAGACTTGGAATTGGCAATGAGTCTTTGGAACCACTTACACTTGGGGCAGTGGCTTTGATGTTTGCCAACGTTAACAACCGCTTAATGCATATCCTGCAAGACCTGTGGCCAGAGGGCTCTGCTATTTTGGGGAATATTGGAATGAGCAAAGAAATACCAGGAGCTCACTTCTCTTGAAGACATGGATTGAAGATGTCGCTCGAATTACTGCTATCATAGGAAATACTTTCTACTAATAGGTTGCAGGTCTTCCTTAAGCATAATTTTATAAAACTCCTTGTCATAAGACACAGATATAAAAACCGTTAGGGCCTCTATCATAGTTGTGGTTCTTCTTGACTTCAATGGGGCCTTGTGTGAAATTTCAGTCATATCAAATATGAAAATTAAAATAATTGTTATATTGAAGAGCAGAAAAACATTCTAGATAAATATAATCAGGAAGAATATTTATCAGCTTGATTTTACAACTATGATAGAGTTGCTAAAAAGCTAAGTTGTGGAAAAGCTACCTTCTAATAATAACGAAGTATTTATAACAGAATGACAGCTCCAAGGGAGAGAGGAGCACAGTGAGGAAAGAGAGGATCATGCAAGATTCAGAAGAAAGAAAGATTTATTTTTTTCCATTCCTGGTTGTTCAAAGTGCTTTTAGATTACTAGTCATTCCCTCAGGATGTTATTGGGTTCAAGACATACATTTTTTCATCTTCCATTAGATAAAAAAGAAGAGAGGGAAGGGAGAACAAGGATGTTCCACCAAAACCACAAAAAAACTACGCTGTCCTTCATTTGTTTCTTAAGCTTGAAGGATCCAAAAGACTGAACAAAGCACTTTGTCAGCTGATCAAACATAACCTTAGCTTATGAATAGTCTCTTTCTAATGCATACAATGAAATGGTTTTACAGTGCAGATTATTGATAAATATTACTCTGGAATGCTTAATCCTTCAACTTGATTACTTGTTTGTTTTTACTGCTTAGCTATAATTAAGCAGTCTTCCAGGTAACAGAAGGTATATATTACCCTAGTGGATTAAGCATTAAATATTGCTTTCTTATTTTCTGTGAAGTTTATTATTGTTTAAAGCTTGTGAAATTGTATGTATTCTGCTAATGTGCAAAATTTACAGATTTACATGTTCCTGCAGCAGTTCCCTAACTGCACGCTTATTTTCATGTGTGTATGGTGTGTCTCACACTGTGATATGTTGCATGTGCTTGCTCTCTTTGTCTGGGGCTGCTGTCTGTATTGTTTTGTGCTTCCAGATAGCGGTGGGTGTGCTCGCAAACGTGCTGCAATGTCTGTCACATTAACAGCTGTGAAGAGAGTTCAGAGTTCTCCAAACCTATTGGCCTCAGGTATAACCACTAACTAGTGAGATTCTACTCCTGAGTGGCTTTTCTGTAGTGTATTCCTGCAATATTACTCTGCAAGGAGGAGAAGGGTAACGATATTTTCCATTCCACTGACAGGTCTGTCACTTAATTTTACAATGCTCTTTAAAAAGTAGTCCTAATTTCTCTCTGCTTATGCTTGGTAGCTGTTAATGAAAAAAAAAATCAGGAAGGCTTAGGAAAAAATCAGTTATTTATAAATTAGTTTTGCCTTTAATACATATTTTGGGTCTCATGTCCCCTGTTTATTTTCAAGATAACCTAGCATGAAATGTAAGTTTTATTTATTATTATTTTATTACAGACTTCATTTATTGCAACTTACTTTAAAAACTCTTCTCAAAGGGCAAGAATATGAATGTTGTAGAATGATCGTCAGAAGCCAGGTTAACTTGGAAAAAAATAATTTACCAAGCATGTTTTCATAAAAATATTTAAACAATAAAAACATGCAGAATGTTCAGTAGACAGGCAGAACTGCTTCTTAGCAATACTCATGTCTGGTTTTGCAAAAATAAATCTTAATGGGTATCAGCTGCCCAGATTCACTGGCAAATTAAGTAGTCGTATAAATCAGTAAAGAATCTTGAGTGGTGTAGACTAATTTACACCAATCTGAACATGCAATGTTCACACCAAACAAGTACAGTATAGGAAGCTGAATAAATAATGAGCCAGAAAATTGCGAGACAAAGTCTTTGTTTTGTAGATCTTTTCAAATATAAGACTAATCCCGAGAAATAAAAACTGTTAGAATTTATGAAGCAAATTAAAAATTTGATTGCTACGCTTTGTAAGGATAGTGGAAGGGTTATTGAGATTACTGTGTGTATGTAAATTTAAGAAAACATCGGATTCTTGTGTCTTAGCAACCCTTCTAACAAATTTTCATCATTTAAGCATGCAATACAAGCCTCTTAATGTCTTACTTTCATGCACTTAATATTAGTGATAAGGAATATTGTTAGTACTACAATTATTATACATTAAAATATTTTTAATTTGTTTAGAGATATTATAATTTTAGTTTCTTTAAGAGAAAAAACACTAATATATCTACAAGTAATAAATAAACCACCAGAATTTCTAATCTATTCTGTACTGGCAGTATGTATGTATAAGTTTCTGTGTTTTACTTCGAAGTGATGAAGAAAGCATCACACATTCTGGTGTGAAGTGAGGGAGGAAATCCTGACAGAATCTGTAGACATCTTTATTTTGAATTAAACCTTTTCAGCTCATCTTAAAGGAATTATATTTCTTTTGATATCTAGTTTTTTTAGCTGGTAGTATATCACAGTATTTACTGGCAAAAAAAAAAAAAGAAAATGCAGCAAATGTTTATTATTGACTGTCTGAAATAGCAGTGATTAAATAACAGTAACTCTCAGGACACTATGACTTTCTGTAGAACTTGTGCAATAAACATTGCTCAGTTACCTGTGTTCTAATATTCTGAGGTGTGCTTAGGTAACAGGAGGGAATTAGGTAACTGAACAAAAAGACTTGTACATAGTTTTGAAGTTGTGTCATCATGGTTTTATTTCTAACACAAATTAATATTGGATGTTTCTTTTTCAGGGTCTGATTCTCAGTCTCCAGATTCAGGTAAATAAAACACTCTATTACTTATGCATCAATGTAAGTACTGTGTAAGTGAATGAATTGTAACAATCTTCCATTTATTTGATTTCGTTACTCCATACATCCACATTCTTTAAGGAAAGCACCACTGAAATTGTTATAATAATTGCAAGTGGTTAAGACCTCAAACTCAGGTCTCATTTGAAAGCAGTATTTCCTATAATAGAGTATATGCTGTTAGAAAATGAATTGTGTGGGAGAATACAGACTGCTAATTTGCCACCTTTAGCTTCAGCGATGCTTGCAATTTCATTTTTGGTTCCTCACTCAGGATTACAAGTTCTGCCCACCCCACTTAGCAGCCTGCTCATATAATGTGTTATTTTTCCCAGCCTCTTATTTTGTCTTCAAATCTGTAACTTGTTGAGGCAGGGTAGTAACTCCCTCTATGTTTGGACAACACCTTGAGGGCTTTTCAGCTCTGAGGATGGAGACGAGACTCGGTTTGTTGGTTAGAAAATCAAGATGTCACTCAGGTTTGGAAATAAGATGCATTATTGGAACAACTAATTGGGTATTGAGGTGAAATTTAGTGAAACTGCCATGGCAACTAACTTTACGTGAGCTGGGATGTTTTTCAAAATGCGATGCAGCTGTGAAGTTCAAGAACGTAATCTGTGGAAGCACTTCAGCCTGCTGAATACAGGGGCTGAAGCACTGACGTCTTCAAAGGACTGTCAAGGTTAAAATCCATAGTCTGTATGAATGTTGCGGGAAGACACCAAACTGCTAGCAGCAGTATTGTCAATGCTTGAGTTTTCTAAATTTTAAATATAAATATCTTGTAAAGTGGCAGCTTTAGCCCTGTTCATATAACTTCCACGGTGATAACAGCAGCAATGTCGGTTGTGTAGTAGCTAAACTTTTCCACAGTTGGTTTATTAGCTGGTTTGCAATTATGATAGAAGTATAGAGATCTACTAATCACAAAAAAAAAATGGTTTGATTCTTTTTTCCTCACAAAAGCTTGGAGATCTTGCAATGATGGAAGCAGAGAGACACTGAATGGAGATGCTAGCAGTTCATCTCTTACAGCAAAAGGTTTTAGGAGCGTGCGGCCAAATCTACAGGATAAAAAATCACCAACTCAGGTAAAACTGAACACACCAAGTTTCATGCTTTGGCATTAGTGCGTGGGTTATTCTTGAGGGGTAGCATATACAGATGGAATACCTCTATGGAACGTTGTCCTGATGTCTTCCAGATAGTGCAAATTCCCTGTTTGTATGGATCATTACAAACTGTTTTACTGCATATATAAAGTATATTCCACACAGGCTTCATGCCTCCAGGTTGATTGCGAGAAATTTCTTTCAATGAACAAGACAGCCAGCTAAATAAAAGTAGGTCATACATAAATAAAAGCTTTCTAGGAGTGTTTCCAGACTTCAAAGAGTATTTATTAATATTTTACACTCAGAGAAATGCATCAGTCATCAAAATAATATCTGAGGATAAAGGTTTCTTAATTATAAGGTAGACAATATTTCTGCCTGTTTTGCAGAACAATACAATTAGAGCAAGCTAAAAAAAAAACACACTTAACTTGGAAACATATTTATCTGTCCAAAAAAGATGAACATACCAATGCCAATACTGTGTCTTTAACTGTCGTAATTCAAAGGTTCTGTGTGTTTTATTATTTGTGTGTCACCTGTGAACAACAACTTCCTATCTAAGATCATGGAGTACATTTTGGAAATTACTTGCATATCTGAACGATTTCACAGTAATAATTCTTATTCACTGTAATAATTGTTTTTTTAAAAGAAAATGGACTGTTGTGGGGTCCCTTCTGATCCCAGTTTACTCTGAGCAAATGGAACATGTGGCTTTCTAAACACAGGCTATACAGCCCTGCACAGCAAAAGGTGGTGGGAACCTGACCAATTGTCCATTGAATTGAGCGATGTTGGGATGAAGGCCCTTAAGTTGCTAGTTCCTTTATTTAAAGATAAAAGTCAAACTGAGTTATATCTCTTGCTAACATTTACTTTCTTTCTGTTTCTTCTTCAATGTTATTTTGCTGTGTGTGGATGCTTTTGGCAAATAAGGCACCTCTGCCACCCCCTAGAAAAGAAAGTTTTCGGAAAGCAAGAGTAACTAATCACAAGAATGAAATTAATCTCCAGGCAGTAACAGGTCTAGCTAAACACCTTCCCACAGATACTGCCTATTACTCTAACGAGAAGTCTGTCCAGAAGACAATGTCTTCTCAGATATCTGACACAAATGTGTCCTATGCACAAAAAATCATTAAACCACTGACCTCAATCTCCAGTGCAGGCACAAGCGCAGCAGTTGGTATTAGTACTACTCTCCATCAAGGCCAAAGGCAACAGTCTCAAAAACGTAGGGTATCTACCCTGAAATTAACCCGGACACGTGACCCAGCGAGTAGCATTAATTGTAATACACAGCAACAGCTCAAGCCTGTTGAAGTGCCAGTATTTCCGCAAAGGCCTGTCTCATCTGCCTGTAACCCTGTGCCTGAGATACACACAGCATCTCTTTCCATTCAGATAGCTCCCATCCCTGACAATAAAGCAGAGCCTGAAATCCAAGAACATCCACCTAGTATTTCTCCAGACACTTCAAGGATGTCTTCAAAGGATTTGGGACAAAACTCTACAGTTCTTCCTTCTTCACAGGCTGCAGAATGCCATGTGGTATTTTTAATTTTTCCATCTTTTATATTAGATCATTCATGAATCACTTAATAACCCTCTGTTTAGTTATACTTACATTATCAGAGTTAGACCTTGTGTTTTCTGGGTAAAACTACCTGTCACATGCATCAAAACAGAACTGAACAAAACTTAAAATTTTTGGAAGGGTATTGCGAAAAAAAAAAAAAATTAACCCAGCTGAGCTGGAAGGTAGGCTTCTTTGTTCCTCTGTGAGCTCTTTGTGGAGTGCAAATGCACGATAGGGAATTAGGGAATTGTAGGTAATGCATCTGCTTAAGTGGCTCTTCCTACAGGGGATTGTATTAAAGCTTCATACTGCCATAGGTGCTGGAAGGATCAAGTATGGATAGAAGAGTGTTGGGTTAGGGGGTTTTCTACAGATGCAGCTCTGCCAGTTTGCTAGGGCCACTCAAAAATATTTTTTCTCAGTGCTTTCTGCAAGGCTAGTCACTGCTGCCTCCTATGTGTCTGTGCAATAGCACTTTTTAAAGAAAATCGGTTGATAAAATATTTGTCAACTGCCTCTATGTGAAGCATCACAAGGCACAGAACTTGAATAGGTCTAGGCTTATCTGTCTCAAAGCTTTGTCTGAGTGAGGATCATAATGTATTTGTGTTCATCTAGTTCTGCTGAAATCAGTGGGGCTACTCTGAAGTAAACATGGCACAGACTTGAAAAAAAGGAAGTCTGTTGACAGCCCTGTCAATAATAATAACACATCTGCTCTCTCAGATTGTAGCACTTTCAGAGCATCACATTCAACCAGGTCTCTACTCTGGAAGGCACGAGTATCTACATTAGCTACAGGATAGTTCTAATATGTCAATTTTCCCCTTCAACTCCCAAGTAAAAGTTTTGATCAGAACAAAGCTCTGTGGAATTATATGGCAACAATTTGCAATTCTCCTTTTGAATTAGTTCCACTAACAAATGGGAGGACAGAAGAATTAATCACATTTTTCCTTCTCAAGATTAAAGGCAAAACTATGGTCTTAAGCCTTGCTATCAGGCTACATAAAATTTAGAACACTTAAAGAAAAACAAATTGCTTTACCCTTGAGAAGGACTGGTTTGCTAGTTAGTGATTTTTGTCTAGTAGAATGAGGCAGTTCAATCAAGAGCCACTGTAAAGAAATCGTGTCAGAAACAGTAATGAAGGCTGAGCAAGAGCTTTATCTGGTAGATAGGGTAGGTGTGAAGATTATAGGAGGCAGACTTGCAAGCCTTTTAAGTATGGACATCAAGGGTCAGACAGTAGAACAGGTGCAGATGTGGCAAATACAAGTTAGGCATCTATGTTTTCTTTCCACTTCAAAATAATTGTTCAGCCTGTTAGCAATACGATGCATTATATATGCTCAGATAAATGAAAATATCTCTCAAACAGAAAGTAGTTTTATGACAGCTAACAAGAATTAGGGGAAATACCTGTTTTATGATCCAGAATAATACTCAAACTCTACTCAGAATGACTAAAAATAATTCATCCTCTGGCTACTTTTGGTTTTTAAAATTTTAAAAGTCAAAACACATTTTGCAATTTCTTTTTATTTCAGAATCTGTTTTAGTTTCACTATGAGCTGACAAAATTCAGAAAAGCAGCTGTGACTTGTTTGGCAATTCTACACTTATTTTTCTGCCTTCTTCTTGGTTTCAGTGTGTGGGAAGAATGATCAGAAACTTGGCAACTGGATTTCTTCAAATAAAATTATAAAAATTTCAGTTGATCCCAGGGATCATTAAGGAACATAGCCAGCTTTTCAAACTGCATCCATTTATTGTTCTCTTGCCCGCAAAACTCAGCAGACATCCTCCCTGATGTTCAACTTTGAAATAAATTCCAAACACTAGTATGAAGAAGTGTATCTGGAATCACAATCGAGTCATGGAGCCAGTGGGTTTTGCCAGCTCTGTGTTAAAGTACATACCTAAAACTAGAGTACAGATTAACATGCGAGGTGGTGTAAAATTCTGCATCAAGTGAGGTCCCAAAGCCAAGATGCCATAGACTACAGTTAGAAATAAAGGCTACAGCTATATGTCTAAAAAGATTTATTTTCTGACTCAGATCTCTGGTCGAAATCTTAGAACTGTTCTAACTAATGCCAAAAATGATGATCTGCTTTAGCACTATATCTCATGGTATTTGCAAAATTTTTCTCACATAGACAAATTAACTTTCAGTATACTATGCATGATAGTACTTTCATTTGAAAAATTGTTTTAGATTTGCAAGCACTACAGGACTTTGTACACCAGTTAAAATACTTCTGTATATACAGATCACAGGTTGTTATGTTAAGCTATATCCTCTAGCGATGCTCTCAGACTGTAGATTGGGCCCACCAGCAATGTCCAAAGCTGCCACAGAAACTCACAAAAACCAAATGCATTTAGAAAGGCATTGTAAAAAGCAAACAACTCTCCCTCTGCATCTGGGTTTACGTATGCAAAGGAGAATGAGTTGAGATTGGCTAATTGTCACTTCTTAAGAGGTGGTGAATGAGAAATATTGTGCATGTGTGGGTTTAGGGAACTTGTACAGCTGTATTATGTCACAAAGCATGCAAAAGTACAGCCAAGAGGGAGCTTGTATGGTCCAAGTTCATGCACAATGATTTTGCAGTATTTTTTAAGGTAGCTTGTTATATTCATGCTCCTATTTGCACTTCTTTCAGAACTTATTTGCTGAAACTTTAAGAGCAAGCAGAAGTGTGGTATGACTCACAAGTGACATTTTGTAAACACTCCTACTCAAAGAAAGGTTAAACTCCTTAAAAGTGTATATGAAAAGAGAAGCATTCAAGTTACTCAATATTAATTTTGTTATGTTATTACAGTCTCCAGAGATGATGCTGCTCCGTACCACACTGCAGATATGGGAGAAATAACCTAATTCTTAGAATTAGTATTTGTTAGTATGAGACTAATGGAGGTAAATTCTGTGGTCCAAATTTTGTATAAGAAAAAGTTCTGAACTGATGAGTTTTGAGCTGCATCCTATGAAGTAAACACCTGGCATTTTTATGTTCTTTTTGTTCATGGGTTCATAAGTGTCCTTAAAACTAAGGATGCAAAACATTTGTCCTGTTTGTTTGAATTCCACAGATGAGTGAACACTTGGTTTACTCCTGGTGTCCTCGAGGAATAAAAACTATAATACTAGATGTTTATGGAAGTGTTTCTTTTGACAGCCTTATAGTTGTAGACAAGTGAATCAAGGAAAATGAGCCTGGAATTAAAAAAAAAATATTTCTGAATCAGTTTATCTAATACATTACTGTTTGTTAGGTATTGACAATACATTGAGTGATGTAGAAGGGAGAGAAGGCAAGTTTCAATGTTTTGGGGACAGATGGCAAGCAAAGACAATTGAGTGCATAATTTTCATTTTAAGTTCTGTATCACTAGTGTGGTTTTGCACAGGGACTGACCTCCACTTCCTTATACTGAGTTTAGAATGAGGGCTAGATAGTAAAAATGGGTGTAGGAATATGACTTGCAGCATCAGTTTGGAGATTTCGATACCAGCTTTTAACAATTAAAAATAGAGGTATTTTTACCCATTTGTGCAAGCGTATGGGTGTAATTTGATTGTTGACTACTAAACTCTGTTATGTATTAACAAAATGAGTTTATTCACTTATCTCCGAGTTTTTTTGTCTGTCTCGACTGTTGAAGCAAGGCCAGCACTTTGGTGTCATTAGTAATCTCACACCACTGCCCACAGATCTTGCATTAAAATGATAGATGACTGGTTTTGAAACCCATACTAGAGTCGCATATCTACTTCATGTGAATTGGCTAGCATCTGTATGCTTCAGGCCTGACATTTTACTATTTGATGGAAGGTGAGCATTTTTAAGGATCAGTAGAAACCTGCGCTTGAGACCTTCAGTTCGCTTCAAGACTGTGATGACATTTATCTTTCTCTCTCAAGCGTTGTGCTACAACCCAAGATAATTATATAGTCCAACTAGTTTTTAATCATTCTAATTGATTAAGTACTTGTTTGGCATTTAATCTGCCTGATTTCTGCTAGTGCTTCCTGCGCTGTAACAATAACAAACCTAATCTGAAGCACACTGAATGGAACTGTTATTAAAAGTTTTCTGGAATGCGTTCAGCCTTGTCCTTCTCCTATTTTTCACAGTGATGAAAAATACAGATTAGTAGTAGCCAAACATCTGTTTAGAGTTTACCAACACTCCATGTTTTTTAAATGACGTAATCAGTTTTAGAAAATATTACTGTTTTAAATTGTCATTTCAGCCACTCTTTCGCAGAGCAATGGTTGAATTCTATGACAGAATTCTAGAACCAGGCAGAATATTCAAGTTTTACTCTAGAAAGCTGAGAAACTTCATATTGGGAATCAGTACCTAGAATTGCTTCTTTCCTTCTACCCACATTTAAGAATGATAGCTTTATACTCTTTTTAAGAATTTGACTTGATGAAATCAGGTATTATTTGCCAAACACAATGAATTTAATTCTTTAAGAATTCAATTTCACTAGCTCTCTGGATGCACCCTGAATATCTGTTCTTGTGTTGTCCATCCTTTCTTTTCTCAAGCATGCAGGCAATCTTCTCAGTTCGAAGCCAGAAGGGTCTGAAAAATTTCCTGTTATTTTAACAATTACGAAATTAATTTAAATATTTTGGCTCAGTCATATGTAACTTTTCTTCTGGGGATGCTGAGAAGATATCTGGACTCAAGAACTTCAGAGCTTCATATCGAGTCTGCCTAATTGCATTATGATCTCCTGGTTCATGTGTTTTGCTGGAGATCTTGAATTATGACATGGATGATGAAATTCATCATGAATGATGGTTCTGTCTTCCCTTTTTGTATGTTAGGTGAAATTACTGTTTCTTATATGTGTATATGCACACATCTTAAACCCCTGATATACTATGCTTTATAACCAGCTGTTTCACATCTGTATATGATTGCTTTTCATGAAATTATTTTAATAGTATTTGATTGTTCTTTTGGAGTTTCTGTTGGCAAATTATTTATCTCCAAAAATCATACTTCCTTTTAGAGTCATACACTCGGTAATTGATTTTCTGATTAAGAAGTAATCTGTTGAGATTTGTTCTATGGAAAGTTGGTTTGTTTGTTGGTTTTTTTTTTCAGTTGTAGATTTGAAACATTGCTGTGAATAAGATTTGGATTTTAAGCTGTTTGACTAAATTTCTTCATGGTTTTAACTGCAGGTTTTAACATCAGCTTCTGGCTATTTTTGTGTACCCTAGAGGTCCAAAAATGCCGAAGAGTTCTTTTGAACCATTTGGAACAAGTGATGGATATCTGTTCTCATGCTTAAGATTCTTTTCTGAAATGCGTATTCATAGGGATGGTTCCATTGACCTCAGTAAGGTTATTTGTGTAAATTCTAGTTGATCTCAGCAAGAATTATGGAACTGGACCCCCAGTGACCTCTCATAAGCAGTACAATCTGGGTTGTGTTCCAAGTATTCCATAAAGGCTTTAGAAGATATTTTCAGATTTTGGATTAAAATGCCAAAATGGCATTTCAATCTGATGGCTTGAAACATTTTTTGAATTATTAAAGACTTCTGCCTATTCTGAGCATAGGAAATAGCAGTAATATTATTGGTAGCAATGTGGTATCTATGAGTAAACATTGCTTTTTTAAAGTAGTAATTACTGCATATGGTATCTTACTGTCCTCTATTTTAAATAAATTTAAAATCCCAGATACTCTTTACCTGCAGCTATTCCAGAGTTCCTCAGCCCTATCAAAAGTGAAACTGTTAGTGCTGAAATAGGCAGTATTTTGACGTACTTCAGGAATTGGTTGAAAGCTTGTGGCTAATAGGCAATGTTGAAGAATTTGTGCAGCTGCTTAACAAAGATTGGATGCCAACATGCTTTTCCTGTATCTTTAATTCACAAAGAAGTTGCAGATGCAAAAAGCCAGTTTCAGGACTGGTTTAAACCCAGTGTTCTGGAACTGATTTGAAATAACAGAACATACAGCTCATACATTGTGTGGCAGTTTTCAGAAACGCTCTCATAAGGACGTTCCTTTACACTTTTAAGGAATTACAATGAAGCCAAACAACTAGTGCATTTTGTTTCAGTACGAAGTCATCCCTGTCCTGTTCTTGTGCTCCCAGTCTTTGTTGTTCCTCAGATTTATACCTCTTACCCTAACAATCCTTGTGTCCTCTAGTGTTGAAAAGGCTCCTATGCGTACACCTTATCCAGTAGGCTGACAGGGTGCTTCCAGGGTGCTTGGAATTTCTAAGATCATCCAAACTTTTTTCTTAGAGAGGCAGTGGAGAAGATGTGTTCAGTCCCAAGAGGCAAAAAAGTCCACAACTACTGCTTGTAGATCATATGAACATTCAATATTAGTGTTTCAGTTAGCTTGCAGTCCTGCCCATCTGTATATTACAGTTGATTTCAAAATGATACCTGTCCTTCGAGAAAAGAGAGAGCAACATTTACAGAGATCAGACTCGCAGATACTTTTTTCCTTTTACAAACAAAAGGAATATGACATTTTCTAGCCTCATATTTATGTAAAGTATGAAATAGTGTGAACCTTCTCGATGCACAACTGAGATCATTAATATATGCAGTACCTTATGAATATTCATCCCCAGCACACTATGGTTTCTGGCATTGCTTCCACTGGTATTTGATGCATTCATTTCTTTCATGTTTTCCTTTTTAATATAGAGCGTGATTGATTTATTTCCTAATCCATGTGAATGTGAACTTCCTTGGGCTGCTGAAAAACTTACGCTTTTGTAATTCTCCTACACACAGCAAGAGGCAAAGAGAAAAGTTTTTTATTCATTTGGTAATCTGTTTCTTTTCTTATTTTTTTTTTCCTCAAATCTCAGCTTGGAAACCAGAAAGTAACTGCCCCTGTGATGGAGGTAAATGCTTCACAGACACACAGACAAACAGCAACAGAAGCTTCTCCACTGCCTCTTCCTCCTCCTGTGGTACCAGTTAACAGAGCCTCTTTCTCACCAGACAGTGGCACCCATCTAGTACCATATTCTTTGCCAACGCTTGATGATTTTTTGCCTGCACGCTTTTATAAAACCCCAGCCCTTTCACAATTTCCATATAAATGCCCATACCTAGCTTCCGAAAGTATTATCCACAGGAACGAAACAGCCTCTGTAAGCACAGATTCTGCCATGAGTGAGTGCTCCTCCCGCACAATGAGTGAGTCCTCCACAGCCATTCTAGATGAGCTGCAGACTTGTAGCTATGATACTACTGACTGCTCTGAAACACCTTCCCCAACCTTGAGCCAGATGTCTGCTGTGTCAGATGGCACCACCTTAACCAACACTGCTGCCACTTCTCATGTAATTATGCTTCTTTTTTCCTCCTCCATTTTGTTCAAACAGGTTGTCACAAGGGAAAAGAATTCAAACTTGTCCGTTACCCTGTTACACAGACAACTATTTTGTTAGTAGTTTTCTGTGTTTGCAGTCTGACAGCATGTTTTGCAACAGTTTAAAAAAAAATCATTGGTGTAACAGGTTTGGTAATAGGAAGATGGTACTAAGTTGTTGCACAGTTGTATGGTCAGCTAAGGTGTATCAAACACTTTGCTTAAAAATAAATGAAAATAAATTCAATAAATGTCTGTTACAAATGCATAAAAAGCAAGTGGTCTGTAGAGTTTGAAGAGATTTGTTAAAAAAATACTGTTAGCAACGTACAGATTTGTGGATTTTGTAGCCTCTGGCTACACCATTTTTGGTTTATGCTGAGGTACAGATTTCAATAATATAACTTGTAAATTCATAGTAAATGTTGCAATATTTAACGCAATTTTTTCCCCAGCCATGACCACTGACTACACAAAACTGTTTTTCTCTCTTCTAACTAACCTTTTCCTCTCTTAAGCACAGTTTCTTACAGGAGTGAACTTCATAAATAATTTTGTAGTACCCAAGTGTCCTGTTACTTTTCTCTTGGTTAAGTCAAAGAAAGAAACAGCATTCAATTAGACATTTTACACATACATTCGCTTTTCTGTGCCTTAGTACACTCATATATGGATAGAAAGAAGGTATGGAATTTGGGTCCAATCCAGATCACTTCTTATTTCTTTTGAGATTATCTGCATGATTAAAATGAGTCAGAACAAAGCCTTCATTTAGATTGAGCAATTCATTGCTGAGTTACAAAACAGAGAGATGTTCTGAGACCAAAGTTTTACTGGGTCACAACAGCATTCAAACGTAAAAGTATTTCAGCATGCTATCATTTTCAAGTCTGAAAAGAACAAACAGTGTATATATTGTTTAAGTTTCATGTATGCTTTATTAAAAATATTTTGAGCCCTAACTCTGGAAAGTCAACGATCTGTTGTCAGTGCTCTGGATGCTGTTAAAAAAAAATATTATTAATAATAGGCATGTAAAAGCTGTCATTCCTAACTCTTGTAACACAGCTCTGAAATACTGGGGGTTGGTTTGTTCTTTAAAGAATGAGTGCTGTCAATCTGTGTACAGCCCAGTAGTTGTAACCAAAGATACCATAATCAATATAGACTGGTACATGTAAATAAGGCACAGTCACTACATGACAGTTTACTAGCTATGGGAAGCATGGAATGTTTATATTTTCTTCTAACCTACTTCTAAAATAATCAGCTAGCTGTATTTGTTTTCTTTGAGAACCGTTTTTGTGAGCTAAAGAGAACAGTCCTTCCTTCTTTCCTTGTTTGGTTAGTCTCCCTGTAGAAGGATATATTGTGGTCGTCTCTGACCACCACTTTCTCTCTTAGAAATGACAGGGATGACCATAACAGTTGTTCACCATTAATGGACAAAAAGAAAGGATGAGTCTCCCACCAAAGGACCCCAAATAGTCCTAAAAGCTGCACAGAAATTAAACTGCTGCCAAGACCCACCTCTGCAGTTTAGAAAAGTCTTCATCTCCCATCCTCTGTAGAGGAAGGTCAGATTGACTATAAATGGATCCATGAAATGAGAAAATGGTGGGGAGGCTGGTGGCACACACATGTGTGCTGCTAGTGGCTCTACAACTGTAATGGTCTTCATTCTCAAAGGAGAATCCTGTTGATTATGTAGAAGAAAACTGATGAGCGAACCATAAAAGTAATATAGGATTGTGCCATCCGGCACTGTGCCCACATAAGGCACAACCATGCTTTCAAAGACGTTATGTCCGCATTTGGGATGTTTGTTTGTTCTTGAGGTCCTTATTGAGAGCTTAAGCAAAAAGGTTTTACAGCAGATCTTTTGAGAAGAAACAGCATCAGTAAGAGCTGAATCAACAAAATTGTAAAATATTCCGGGCAAAAGGCAGAGCTAAACATAAAACTGAGGTTAATTGGCCATACTTTTAGTCACAGATTACAGCTTCTTTGAAAAACTGAAGTATGAGAATTGTAATTCTTTTTTAAGCTTATGCTTAGAATTGGAGTTAAAATCAGACAAGAGCTGGTTTTGGAAACTATTTTTTCTGATTCTCTTCCAGTTATGAACATTTCCCTTATAAAGTAGTTTTCATGGGTTCTTTTTATGTAGTTTAAAATTGTGGAATATAATGGAAACTTGGAAATGGAAGTACATATTAGATTTTGCCTTTTCCCAAGTTCTGGGACTGTCTCAAGCTTCAATAATTGATTCTGAGTGTTTCAGCCTAGTTCAATTACTTGAGGCTGGAGTGCGCTGTGTGGCATTGTTGCACAAAACTGCTCAGACATCTGTAATGGGACCTCTTCCGCTTTGCTGCCTGCCTCAGCAGAAAGTTAGAAAGCAGCTCCAATCCCAAATAGTTCATTTTCTCTGCTCTGATTCAGAAATCCATTGAGCTGCTCTTTCTAATGCTCAGGCAAATTAAAGGAAGTTTAAACCTGGGTCCTACGAAGAATCTTTACAAGAGTTTGCTTACCTAGCAGCAGAACTAGGTGGCTCTGCTAGCAGTGGAGCACAGGTGAAGTATACTGGAGAAAAAAAATAAATTGAGAGCCTAGGGAAACAAACAATGTGAAAAAGATGAGGATTATTTTCCCAGTAAACTGGGGAATATGTGCATTTTGCTGAAGTAGTTATTTTCTATATCATCTTATTTTCTCACAAAGGAGATTACTTAGGAAAGTAAAAGATCTAATTCATGAATAGGTGTGTTAAAGATTTTGCTTCCTTGTAAAATCTGGGAACAAACTCTCACCTGAAACTAAAGCCTCACATGCTCAGATAGAAACATCAATAGCTCCCAAATGATTCCAAGAGCAGGAAAAGGCTCTTGGAATGTGAAACTTCACAGAACTGTCTTTTATAACCAACTCTCTCACCAGTGCAAGATGTATCTGATAAGCAAATGCAATAGCCACCCTCACGGAAACTTTCCTAAAAAAAAAAAAAAAACACGTTAGGAACTAAGAAACTATAGGTGAGCTGATATCATCTCTAAAAACTTTAGAAGCAGACCCAAAAATGTCCTACATGGACATGCCACAGATACATTTATGACTGATGTTCGTCAGCTACTTGTGTGGATCCTGTTTTCATAATATTGTGTACTACTTAGTGTAAGAGCCTCACTGTCTAACCCAGCTATTTGGCAAAGTCCATCTCAGGAATATCTTAATTTTTTATTCCAGAGATTCATAGGAGTAGCTTTCCAGCCAATAAAGAACTCACACTGGTTCTGCTCCTCTCTTCAGAGAAACAAAAGACACAGTAAATGAGTAAGAAGGTATAAGATTCTGAACATAGTTGTACCCTGCCTTCCCTAGAAACAAGCCTTCCCAAAAAGACAGTATGTAGGAAGAGAGAATGAGTGAACCCCTGAAATAGGGTAGAGATGACTGGCCTCATCTGGGAACCTTATCTGAAAACATGGCTTCATGCTTCTTGAAATGCACTCTTGGAGCTCATGTAGCTTCTGTATTCTTACAGCTTCAGGATCTTTTGGAGGTGAGGATGGTGTGAGAAAAGCCAAGTTAGTTTACGTTTTGGTTCTTGACTTTATTAAGAGAGGAAACATTCAAACACAAAAGTTTCAGTGGAGACAACACCATAACACAAACTTTTTGGTTCAGTTCTGAAAACAGACATCTTTAAAATGAGAAACCTCTGAATGCATCTAGGAGTTCATATGATGGCTGCATGGTTTCTTTTGCTCTCTTAGCTATTGGAGATATTAAAAATTTCAAATCAAATCAATAATCTCCAAAATACGAATGTATACAAGAGATCATGAAAAATCATATGCCTTTTGATTTGTTTTTTCTTATGCTTTGTTGCTTCAGATAGTATTGTGTTTTACATTTACAGAATGTTTTAGTTCTCTTTTGTTATATAAAATAGAGCAAAATTTGTAGAACTTCTCATTTTGTTCAGATTTAAAGAAGAGTTCTGCCTTAAAAGAGATGTTACAGACAGCTTTCCTCCTTTTTCTGTTGGAATATTCACTACCCTTTCATTTCATTCAATGCTTTCTCAATACCTCTGTTTCCATCCTTGCAATACTCCCCATAAAAGTGCTACAGCCCAGATGTGGGGATTCTAAACCTGGGGGTAGGGAAGTAGATTGTTGCAGAAATACCTCTTGTGATGAAAGCCTAAATGGCTTGTGATGCCAATTTTACTTAGCTTTCACATTTCATTTATTTGATTTTGTTCTGCTGTTTTGTTGTTGTGGGTTTTTTTATTGGTGCTATTTATTTTTATTATGATAAATTATCTATCAGCATCCCATAGTCACTCCAGCTGACTTCCATTTTTTAAAGAAGCTTTGGCTCACTCTTTTTAGCTAGTCTTAATGAGACACTTCCCTTTCATTGGCACAAAAGTTTCCATTAATATCAATAGGGCTTGAGCATGTGCATTAAGGGAGAAGTATGTCTCTTGGAGTGCGTCATCTGTGGCAGGCAGCCTTTGTCACCCAATGAGAGGAACTTCTACTGCTGTCAGACCTCTGCAGACCTTGTCTGTGCCATCGTTGTTGCCCTGACCATGATCTTTCTGTCACCTTCCCATGCTTTCAGCACACTTCACAGACAGCACATACGAGGAGAGGAGGGGCGAGGTACAAGGTATAGAAGCTACACGTTTTGCTCCCCTTGTGATGAGTTTTGTATTTCAGTGAGTGCAGATGCCGTTATGGCTGGGTACCTGACAACTGGGAATTGTTGTGTGGATGACAGTCTTGCATCACTCTTTCTTTGGGATGGCAGTCGGAGGGCTTTGTGTAGTTTAATGGGATATTGTTTTGTTTCTCTCAGGCTCAGATCACAGTGAATGGGAACTCTGGCACTGCTGCCAGCCCAGTGAGTCACTTTCAAAGGCCTTTTTCCCCTTCTTCAGCTTACCCTCCACCAGCTTCACTCAATTCCAACATTGTTATCATGCAGCATGGCAGGATGATGGGTAAGCCTCGCACAGAATATTTGCTTTATACATTATGCAACATATTCCAATTCATGTGGCAAAGATTGCAAACAATTGCAGAGTGTTTCACATCCTTAATGAAGGTATTGTCTATTCATCTACCTTGGGAAGTAAATGCAAAAATAATAGCGTTTATTGTTAGATACAGTAGTGATCATGAACTGGAGTTACTATTAAGTTTTATTATTTATGTGTGGTGACCTCTTGCCACCATTCCGCCAGTTTTACCAACAAAAGAGCATATATTGAAATAGCTCAACCTGTGCAGACCCTTCATGTTTGGCCTTCTTTAGGAAACCAAGGGCCACCTTTGTGCATTGGTTCTCCCTGCAACTTCCATAACATTAATAGAAATACTGCCAACAAAGGTTGGACTCTGGGCTTTTAATCACCTAAAGTCATGTCAATCTATAATTTGTTTATATATTTTTTTGTAAGGCATTGTTAATTTTTTAAAATATATGTGATCAACCTTAGAAAGGAGCTTTGCCAGTATAATCCAGTTTTGCCAGAACAATCATTTGCTTGTTACTTTTTCTGGTAGTGTTTTGCATATTCAGATAAGACTATACATGCAAAATAATTTCAATGTGATCCTAGAGTTTACTTTTTTGTTGTGCCTGAGGAGAAATTAGGTGACAGTCCTTGCTCTGAGACTTACGGCTTAGACAAATGCTGTTATTCCTATCATAGCGCTAAGTGCAAAAAACATATACGTGGGTTTCCTCACATCCCAGAATTCTAGATCCTTTGGTTACTTCCAATTTGCTGATCTAAAGGCCTATCAATTCTGTTTTGAATATACCTGAAATAAGTAAAGTGTTTTCTCATGGCTGTTGCTCTTTTATGATGCTGAAGTTCCGTGTTCCACAGTAACAGCCTGATTTAAACCTCCTTGCTCATCTAAAAATCCCACTGATGGCTTCACTTTGAGGCCTATGAAGAATGAAGGATCAAATCCAAAATGTTTTCTAAATTTAACATCATGCATTTTGGGAAAAAAGCCCAAATATTCAGACGTTTGCCACGCAGAGTTGCCCCTCGCCATATATGTGTAGCACTGGATTATTTACAGGATTTCGAACTTGAGTAAACAGTTGAAACAACCATGCCAAATCTGGCTCTCTGGAGTAGGAGAGAGCAGAAATATTTAAATTACCAGAGCTCCTTTTGCTGATTTATATTACAATTCAATATTTTGCTTCAGAAGAATCAACAGATGTTAATGTCAAGCGCAAAGCAATTGTAATCTTCACCAGTAGTGTTAGAATATTTATTTTTACTCCCTTCATTCATATATCCTGCAGTGGAAATCTCACAAGCGCCATACCTGCTCTTGCAAAAAGAGATGCTTTGTCGTAGCAGCCCGCTAATTTACTGAAACATGCTGCCTGAAGGAGTAAGGCTCTTTTTCCTGCATACAGGAAAATACAACATCATCTGCAGCAGTACAAATTTTCACATGACACATCCCAGCAGTGAGGTGGTTTTTATTAAATAAATATCTCTGAATTTTAGAGGCAAAGGATGATAGTGATGCATTAATTTCTTTAATTATAAAAGAAGATGAAATTATATCACTGGTTTCAGAAGATGGATAGGAAGGGTGGAAGAGTTTGATTTATAGGAAAAAGGCTGCTGCCACTATTTCTCAATAGATTTTGCTGGATTTGTGGGGTTTTCTTTTTTTTTTTTTTTTTTTGTGAGCAAGATGCTGTAAAAAAGTACCTCAAATCTAAGATCTGAGTTGAATAGCCTGTCTGGTCTCCTTAAGTAAGTTTCTAATTCTGTTAATGTAACAATAAGTAGGGCAAAGCCCTGGCTAAGAGGATTTATTTTTTTAATGTTGTATATGTATACGATTAAGATTGTTGTTGGTCTTTGTACAGCATATTGAAGTAGGGAAGCGCGTTATAACTGCCAAGTATGATTATTGTATCGTTATACAGTATTCTATCATGTTATCTTTACAGAGTCCACAGAGACATACTCACAGCATGTTCAAACTGTTGGCAGCAGCACCACCACCAGTACAATACCAATCTGTAGAACCTCAGAAGAAGAAAAAAAAATTACAGTCATTAAAGCTCCACATTATGCAGGGATTGGCCCGGTAGATGAATCTGGAATCCCTACAGCAATTAGAACGGTAGGAAATTCTGGGGAATCTGTGTATGAACTCATACAATGAATTGATTGTTGGTAATGGGTTTTTCACATTCTTTTAGTCTTATATAATGTGGAATACAGTGTGCGTAATCAGCGAGCTCATGAATATAATATTGTGTGTTGACGGAAAAGGAGAATGCTGATGGGAGCATAATTGGGCAACCTCGTGTTTCTAGCTTTAATTAGAAGTAGCCAAAACTTTGTGTCTCTTTCTTGCTTCCCTTGTAGTTCTTGCCTTTTGGAGAGAGGCAGTAATTGCATGTTTTGTTATTTCTAAAAGAAAGTTCATACATACTATATGTATATGTGTGCATGCAAGTATACATCTACACCTATGTGTATGTATATATAAAAATCTCATACTTGTGCGTTTTTTGGGGCAATGGTTCTCATATCTTCAGAGTAGTGTAGAAATCACTAGTTTTGTTCTGATAATGGTCTAAGCAGCTAGCGTTTCTGTGGAAGTGCAATATATAATCATTGTGCCCTTGAATGACACTTAAACGAATAGCGTGGAAGCCCTTTCATTGTGACTAGCCCAGTTTTTGATCAGCTGCCACTAGTCACTGCTTGAGTGGTCCCAGGATGTCGAACTGAAGAGTTTTGTTTTCACTATGCTGAAGCATTCTTTCCACTCTGCTGTCAGGGCAGCCTCTTCTGGCTGGTCCAGAGAGCACAACAGCAGCTGCACTTGCTCTGTAAAGAAAGTGCTTACTGGCCTTCCCAGACAGAGAAGTGCTGTGCTAGACGGAGAAAGAGTAAGAAGAGTGGGAGCCAGGATGAAAGCAGCAGAGCCCTTGCAGGTGAAGTCTTTGTGAGGTGCAAGGATGTAGCAGCTGTTGGATGTATCCTCTCTGCCAATACTGACATATGGGGCTGTGTTGCATTGCCAAGAACTGCTTCAATGGATCGAAAAGTTAGGGGGAAAATCAGGAATTGATGGAGAAAAGCAATAGGAAAAATTCAGAATAAGTGGTAAGATGGGGACAATTTTAATAAGAATGGGGGGGAAACTGGCATTTCTTGCTTTATTTTTGACATAAGTAATACGATCAATATCTTTTAAAAACTAAGAAATTTCCTTGCAACAATGCTCTAGCTTCCTACTCCCTTTTCAAGTAAATATGTCCCTATGCTTTACATAGGATAAAGTTGTTTTTTTTTTTTTTTAAAGCGGATTCATCTATTAGGGTACATATCAGGTATATTTTTATTATAACAGAAATCCCCCTCAAGTGTGCTTAACAGAGTTGACAGTCTGCCAACCTGTGTTTAACTTTCAGATCGTATGGTCTGAGTCTCTCAGATTTTTTCCTAAAAACATAATGTAATTTGAATGTAGGACATTTTTCAACTGGATTTGCTCTGGATTTTGTTATGTTTAGTTTCGAAATATCTTACAGCTTGTAAACTTAGTATTATAGAAATCGTTCTCACTGTGGATGTGAGTTAAAAGATTATGCTGGCATGTGTGTGTGAGTGTGTCTCTCGTGTGCCACTTTTTGTCTTTATTCTGCTTCCTTAGAACTTAGCTGGAAGTGAGATTGTTTTCAAGACACTGATTTGAGACTGCGTTTTAAATGTGCATGAGTGTATTTGAGCCTTGTGTACCCCAGTCGTCTAAGAGCAAAGGTGATATAGTTGTCAGCAAAAGGTTCAAATACGCTGCACCTTGACACCTCTCAGAAGTGCAGTACTATGCAGAAACACACAAAAGTGCTGTGACTGCATTTCTCATGAACAGTAGAAGGTAGGATATATCACTTGCTCTTTTTCCAAGGTCAGTGAGCAATTCAAATAGGCATTTTCCCTCAAAAAGTTCAGCCTCATTCCATCTGGAGAGAGAAGTTTTCAAATTAATTGAGTTTATCATTGCATGCAAAGTTTAAAAGTTTCTTGTTCTTCCATCTTTATGAAAATGCAACAGTCTATCAAAAAAGCAGTAAATGGAGATTAATGGGTGATAGGTAACATACACACTGTGTTCCGAAACACTTACTCAAAGGTAAGCTTGTAAATAAGAATTTGGGATTGTCTATATTCCAGATTTGGAGCACTTTTCAGGAGTAGAGAGATTTTTCAAGCTGTGGTTATGTCCTCCAAGACTGTCTTTATTCTCAGAACATGTTTGTGACAGCAGTTTAGCCAAGGAAAGCAGAGTTGATATTCTCTTTCTATTCCTGCAAACCCTCTTGGTCCAAAGCTGCTGAGAGGGGAAGGATTCCTCTAAAGCTCTCCCTGCTTTCTGAACCTCCATCGCATGTTAGCATGTTCCCTCCATACCACTTGAGCTCCTGCCAGCTTTGGGCAGTGCAAGTCTGAAGCCTGAAAATTCAGATCATTAAGTTTTGCCACCATGCCAAGCCCTGCCCCAAAGATGGTGAAAAATTCCAAGGCATTAAAAACTAAGTCTTTGGAAAAGAGAGGGTAAAATGCTGTTCACTCAGAAAAGCATTCAGACAAATGGCACCACCAGAGTTTACCACCAACAGGGTACTAGGAGAGGAAGAAACAGGTTCATGGAAAGCAGTATGACTGCACTGTTTTAGGCTGTCTGAAATGAATGCTTCATGTTTAACTATCAAAATTAATCTCTAGACTGAAAAGGCCTCTATTTACTAAGAATGGAAAAAAACAAATCAAGTCTCACCAGATTTCTTTTCCTTACTTAGTGATGTAATATCTCAACTAGAAAAAAAAAACAACACAAAAGGTCTACTGAAAGTCATAAATGCCTCCTTTAATTGCATACTTTCTGATGGATTATTAGAATACTGCAATGATTGTGAACTCTCCTAAGTACCAACTGCAGATACGTCTTATGTCCTTTTTATGCTATTTGGCTGATTGTTCATTCATATATGGTGACAACCCTGTTCCGACATTTAATTGCCACAACTGTAACGTAGACGAAGCAGGATGGCATCTGAATGGCTTGGTGCATTGTGAACACTGCTCATTCCTCAAACAAATGTTGTTATGTGGGATTAGTGAATATAAATTGAAAAAATGTATATTAAAATTAATTTATTCTATTCCTTAGCTAATCCTATCTGACTTATAACGTGAAGTCAAATTATTGGCTGAGGCTTTAAACCCCAAGGTGAAGCTTCAGGGGCAGATGATGAGAGAAAAACATGTAGATGTCCAGAAGGATGTTGGGAGACCTTCTTCTCTGGTCACGTGGGAGCTTCACTATACCTGATCTCTATGTAGAAGCCTTCTGCTGATTTATGGAGGACTTGACTGATGAGGAGGATCTGGCAAAGAGATAGCTATGCACCTTTGTCCCTTGACAAACAGTAAGATCATAGCAGTAATACTTATGCAGTTTCCAATCTTTTCATCTATCGCTGATTCGAGCTATATTGAAAGACTGTTCATGGCCCAATACAGTCAGAAAGGCAGTAGCATTATCGTGGGACCATTGCAGGTTTGCTGTGCTCTGAGAAATGAGGCATACCTTGGAGGTTATGCTCATCAGCATGAATTCCTTTAGACTTTCTGGACTTGTAAACTTTTGAACATACATGATCATGGAGGACCAAACAGCATACTTGTTTCAAATCCAGCTGAATTATTCTTACCACAGTTATGCTAATATAAACATGGAGCTGCTGGAGCGGGTCCAGAGGAGGGCTCCAAAGATGATCCGACGGCTGGAGCACCTCTGCTATGAAGACAGGCTGAGAGAGTTGGGGCTGTTCAGCCTGGAGAAGAGAAGGCTCCGGGGTGATCTTGTTGCAGCTTTCCGGTACTTAAAGGGGGCCTACAGGAAAGCTGGAGAGGGACTTTTTACAAGGGCACGTAGTGATAAGACAAGGGGCAATGGCTTTAAACTGAAAGAAGACAGATTTAGATTAGATATAAGGAAAAAATTTTTCCCTCAGAGGGTGGTAAGACACTGGAACAGGTTGCCCACAGAAGTTGTGTCTGCCCCATCCCTGGAGGTGTTCAAGGCCAGGTTGAATGAGGCTTTGGGCAACCTGGTGTAGTGGAGGGTTTCCCTGCCCATGGCAGGGGGGTTGGAACTAGATGATCTTTGAGGTCCCTTCCAACCCTAACCATTCTATGATTTAATAATTTTAGGGAAACAATATTAAAATGGTCCAAATCTGCTTTTGAATATTTGTTCTTTGGCAGAAGTCAGGAATGTTGGCAGGTAGGGGAAGGGACCTGATCTTGACAGGAAACAAATCTTCATCTCTTGCAAGCAGGTCTGGGTAAAAAGCATAACCTGCTGCTTAGATTTCTTTCTTCCCCAGCAGATCCTCAAGTTCTTCAGTTGACTGTCATCTCTTCTTTCAAACATTTTTTTTTAAATGTCAGTTAGTAGCAATTTTATGAGAACTCACTTTGATTCCTCAATATATGGGAGCGTTTTCTGCCTAGTCACTTACAGTAAGAGCTCACCATTGTTAACAAAACAGGTTAATTATGTACAGTAACTGTAATAGGTATTTAGGGCAAAAGTGTGATTCACTAAAGTTGGCATGGAGTCAGGTGAACACACTCAGATCTGTTGATTGTTTTGTAGAGAAGAATTTGTGGAGTTTCACTTTTCATGGTAAAGAGGACTGGGCAGAGTGGTTGCAGATTTGGTATTAGCTAATGCAAGATAATGCATGTCAAGAGGGATATTTTCAACTATCTCTGTGCACCATGAGGTTTAAAGATAATTTTGTACATCAGCATTAAAATTTTTGCTTTTCTGACTACTATGGAACAAGTAAAATTTTAGGGTCTAAGAATAATAATACTGAAAACATGTTTACCTTTGTATTATCTCCCTTTCTGAAATAATATCATCTTTTCATCAAAGAAAATTGCAGCAAAAGAGAAAATGCAAAAGGGTAAGAGATAAAAATAAAGAGAAGTATGGGCAGATGCTGGTAGGAGAGTTTGGGAACTTTGGAATTGTTTAGTTTATAAAAGTAAGAGTAAGTATAATTTAATGAGTGGTTATTGAAAGGTATATTGTATTCACTTTTCTCAAAATAGAAAAAAAAAGTTAAAACTAAGTTGCCTGGCAAGGGAATTTAAAACTAGTAAAATGAAATACTGTTTATTTACAATCCAAACGTTAACTCTTAAATATAGTGTTGTCCTAATTCTTTTTGCGGTAGTAGTCAAAAGTTTTTCTGCATTATTTAACAACTGCATTTTGAAGATAATTTAAGTTGGAAATTGCCAGGAGGTCGAAAGAAGCTCTTCTTACACGCTTCGGATCACTGAGGTGTTTGTATTTTCCTGTAAAGTACCTAGCATTTATCGTTGTCAAATATAGGGCACTAAGAAGATAAAACTCTTGATCTGGCACTAATTCCTATGTTCCTAACCGTCGTACTTTCCAAGATCAGAGTCCAAGACTGACTCAGTTTTCAGTGTCTTCCAGAACTTGTTACAGGAATTCCTAGATGAAAAGTGTAAACACACCATTTGAAATAGATGGTATTGAAATGATTGCATTAAATAACAGACAAAACATAATAGACTTTGTGTCCAGAATAACATTAAATGTCTGATCAGATCTGTATGTACAGGTTTTTTGTGGTGTTGTTTTTAATTGTTAAAAACTGCATTTTATTTAGACAGTTGACAGGCCGAAGGATTGGTACAAGACAATGTTCAAGCAAATCCATATGGTTCACAAGCCTGGTAAGTATGCTTTTGTCTTGGCTGGGTGGTTCTCAGCTGTATTAAAAAACGCGCTTTTCTGCATGTTGATTATCTGCTGTGTGAAAATACAAGTGTTCACCAAGTGTCAGATAATTAATCAAATTAAATTAGTAAATTGGATGATAGATTTTATTGCAGAGCGCTATTTTCCTCTGCTAAAGGCCAAAAATTTGATGCGTTTATTTTATTACTAAAACTAAATAAAAATCAAAGTGATGAGAATCTGTATGCAACCAGTACAATTCCATGTCACTGAGTAGCTCAGTGATGTGACCCTCATCTCCAGTTTGAGGGATGAAAAATTGGTCACTGTAAAACTCCTACCATACCACCTTTCTTTTGAGAGCTCATATGTTAGAAGAGCACAGGCTAGTAAACAGGCTGTTTTGAGGATACATTTTCTGTCTGAATTGCATTTTTTTCATAGAATGTCTTGGTTTTGCTGATATGGAGCTTTGGTGACGTTACTAGCTTTAGAGTTAATGTCCTTTGTCATTATTGTCACCAAGGATGTCAAGAAACTGTATAAATGGCAATTATGCTCATTACACCTCCAGAAGGAAGGAGACTTTTTTGCCTGAGGTAGAGCTTGCAATTGGTATGGTCATACAGATTTAGTAGGAGGGTAAACATAAGCAGGAAAATTTTGGCTTACAAGGTCCTGCACATGGGTCAGGGTAATCCCAAGCACAAGTACAGGCTGGACAGAGAATGGATCAAGAGCAGCCCTCAGGAGAAGGACTTGGGAGTGCTGGTTGATGAGAATATCAACATGAGCTGGCAAGGTGCACACGCAGCCCAGAAAGCCAACCTCATCCTGGGCTGCATCCAAAGAAGCGTGGCCAGCAGGTCAAGGGAGGTGATTCTGTCCCTCTACTCTACAGTCCTGAGACCTCACCTGGAGTACTGCCTTCAGCTCTAGGACCGCCAACATAGGAAGGACGTGGACCTGTTGGAGCGGGTCCAGAGGAGGGTCACAAAGATGATCTGAGGGCTGGAGCACCTAACCTGTGAAGACAGGCTTGAGAGAGTTGGGGTTGTTCAGCCTGGAGAAGAGAAGACTTTGGGGAGACCTTCTAGCAGCCTTCTAGTACCTAAAGGGGACCTACAAGAAAGCTGGAGGGGAACTTTTTACAAGGGTGTGTAGTGATAGGTACAAGGGGCAATGGCTTTAAACTGAAAGAGGGCAGATTTAGATTAGATCTAAGGAAGAAATCTTTTACAATGAGGGTGGCAAAGCAGTGGAACAGGTTGTCCAAGAAGTTGTGGATGCCCCATCCCTGGAAGTGTTCAAGGCCAGGTTGAATGAGGCTTTGGGCAACCTGATCTAGTGGAGGGTGTCCCTGCCCATGGCAGGGGGTTTGGAACTACATGATCATTAAAGTCCCTTCCAACCCAAACCATTCTGTGATTCTATTTTGAACATTAGTCGCATAGTACATATTTGAGGTTGCTTTTTGTGATAGGAGCTACAACTTAATAGTAGGAAATTAAGGAAGGAATGACAAAAGGAAGAAATTGAGCTTGGGAAGGGAGAAGAACAGAAAAAAAGCTCGAATTTGCAATTTGATGCTAACCCATAAGTAGACAATATGAGTGACACGACAAGAAGATACAATTTTACCAATAAGATGGCAAAAATAGCCTATGGTAAGTATAATGGGAAAAGAGAGTCTTCCGAAAACACCTATGAGATGAGGAAAAGAAATACAGCAGTTGATTGCCTAACAATCTTCTGTTTGTATTTGCAAATACAAAGCTGCATTGCTGTGATAAACTGGCATGTATTGCACTACTATAACATGTATATTTCTTTTTGTAGATGACGACACAGACATGTATAATACTGCATATGCGTACAGTACTGGTAGGAATTATTCCCTCACTTCAAAATGAGTCTTTTGTTAATGTCAGCAAGTAACAGGGGTAGTTAACTATTCATGCTTGCTTTTATAATGCTTATATAAACACTTTTTATTGTCTTGTTTGATCTCAGTTGGTGTTTTTTCATGCCTTTTTTCCCAAATGAAACAAAGTTTAATTTTGGTTTCATTCTTACCACAGAAGGGAAATGCAGCTGTGGGCCTTTTATTGCAGATGGAATACATTGTAATACTGTAGTTTCTGATTATATTGTGTTTATTTTCACTGGTGATTGTGAGTAATGCAGCCTTTCCTTATCAAAATGAAAAGGGAACTACTGTGTGAAAGTACAAATGCGAATTACATAGATGGGAAGACAAAAAGGTTGTACTGAAAACACCTTTTCAAAATATGCAGTAAGAGTCCCTAATAAAGACGTCTGGTTTATGATATTTTTCTTTTTTGCTATAGGCACTGGTGTTGACGTTATTTAGATTTAAGAAGGACATACTCATCTAATACATATATATAGTTGTTGTGTCCTTCAGAATATTATTACCATGTGGTAAAGTTATTTACAAGAACAAAAGTGAAAATGTGAAAGGCTGTATGTGCAAAAGAAACACCATAGTGCCTTGTGCAAAAATGCCATTCAAAATTCTTCCATTTCAGTGTTTTTGTGCTCTCATACTGCCCTTTTGTGTACTGTTGAGAGCATTTGTTGTGGGTCAGTTAATCGAGATCTGTTTGGACTCTTGTGATCCTCTTCAAGACACACTGTTGCCTAGTTGTCCTAGACTAACAGTAATCATAAAAACAATGAAAAAAAATGTGCATTTCCTGCCTCTTCTGTTCTTTCTGAACATAGAACAACTGAGAGGCAGGAGGAGCCTGGAGATTAATAGTAATCTGTCTTTAACAGCTCTGATGGAGACATGCAGCCAGCCATTAACATTCTCCCCCCCCTTCAAATTAATAATTTATTTTAACTATTCTGCATGTTATCTGTGTGTTTATAGTTTTATATAAAAATATATAAAGAGTATTCTAATGAGCTGCATAGTATACATCAACACACATTTAAAAATGCATTTACACATTTTTGTAACCTTGCAGCTTTATTGAGTAACTGTGGGTTCTTGTAGCATTCTGTGTTGTGTTTTATTAAAACTCATTCTCATGCTGTGACTATTTCTGGTTTTGTTTTACATTAGGTAGCTACAGTCCATCCTTCTCTGCTCAGGCACATCCAGCTGCAAAGACACAGACATACAGACCGTTGTCTAAAAGCGCTTCTGACAGTAGCTCTGACGCCTTTAAGGTTTCATCCCCATTACCACCTCCACACGTGCCACCTCCAGTACCACCACATCGTCTGAGGGAAAGGTCTATACCAGAAAAGTAAGTTAGCATATTTTCAAAAAGTGTTTTTGGTATGTGCAGTAATCCAATTACAGGATATCACAGAAGAAAAAAATAGTAGCTATAGAATAATATGACTTCAAGGACTTTATTCAAGGGACAGTCAAGTGATGAGGGGTAATCTTCATCAGTAGTGTGGGCACCATACATGGATCTGCCATTTCTTCAACATGCTAAGGAAGTGCTTATTCTTACAAGTGATAACACCATAAGCGTTTAAGATTTTTGTTCTCATTAGCAGGATTGTCCTCCTTGTTGTGTTTCAGAACAGTCCATGTTCTAGCAGCTGTCTTGAATAGTTAGTTTCTGAGTAGGAAAGGCCATTTATGGTATCCTGTAGCAAAGAGAAAGGAGCTAAATGATATTGTAAACTGAAGTGTGAGGAACAGCAAAACTATAAGAGTGTAGCAGTCAACTTGTGTTTCCCCAGAGCTCAGAAGTGCTTTATATCCCCATTTTTTAAATCTCTATCTTCCCCAACACAAGAAGGACATGGAGCTACTGGAGAGAGTCCAGAGGAGGGACACAAAGATGATCCGAGGGCTGGAGCACCTCTGCTATGAAGACAGGCTGAGAGAGTTGGGGCTGTTCAGCCTGGAGAAGAGAAGGCTCCAGGGTGATCTTATAGCAGCTTTCCGGTACTTAAAGGGGGCCTACAGGAAAGCTGGAGAGGGACTTTTTGCAGGGTCGTGTAGTGATAGGACAAGGGACAACGGATTTAAACTGAAAGAGGGCAGATTTCTATTAGATATAAGGAAGAAATTTTTTACATTGAGGGTGGTGAGGCACTGGAACAGGTTGCCCACAGAAGTTGTGTCTGCCCCATCCCTGGAAGTGTTCAAGGCCAGGTTGGATGAGGCTTTGGGCAACCTGGTGTAGTGGAGGATTTCTCTGCCCGTGGCAGGGGGGTTGGAACTAGATGATCTTTAAGGTTCTTTCCAACCCTAATCATTCCATGATTCTATGATTTTGGTAAACCAAGAAAGTGTTTACAGATTAAAGGGCATTTCACTTTTCTCATGATTTTCCAGCTTCAAACCTGCTGCACAAAACCAGGTTCCAGTGGTTAAAGTCCAGTCTGGGACGTGTTAATACTTAATAACTCAGGAAAGAAATGCTTATCCTTCTGATAAAAACATGCAAAATGCCCTGCACACAAACTGTATAGACTCTTCAGCAAATCTGTAGCCACTTGCTCTAGTGAAAAGCTTTTTATTTAGTGTTTACATTCCTGAATACTACATGTTAATATAATATTATGTTATTACACATTTATATATGTATGTGTATCTGTATGTATATATCATATATATGAAGTATCTGTATGTATATATCATATATATGAAAAGGGCCGTTTTGTGCTCCATTTGTGGCTAAGAGCCCACCTCTCTTGGTTACACTTGAGCAACGAAATAGAATTTTCCCGTTTTGTCAGCTTGGACATTGTAAACATTTTTATATGTAGAAATTGAGTTATATTAAGCTGTTTCAAATAACTTGCAGTTTGCATAAAATATTATAAGATCATTACTAAGGGTTTAAAATTAAGACTTATGACTATGGCTTTTTGAAAAATTTGTAGGTAGTGGCAATCCGAAAGATAATCCAATAGATACATGTATTGCAGAGGAAAAGGAGATTGCTGGATGGTTACTGATTTTGGCTGCTCCTGTTGCTGAGAGCGGGTTGTTAGAGGAAATGCTAGGGGTTAGAGTTGGGCTACCTCCCAAAGGCCAAGAGGCTTGAATTTTGTTAGCAAGTCATACAGAAGTGTAGATTTTGTTAACAAGGCACCAAAATGTGATCTCTGAAGTTATTATGGGAGTCATCGTCCTGTGCTAGGCCAAATGTCTTGGTCACAGCAACCGAGACCTGTTACAGTTCCTTTCGTCAAGCTTGAAAACAACTGCTTCAACACTGAATTTGGATGTTTAGCCTCTCCTTTTAATCTCCTGCATGATAAGACAGGCAACGGAAATCTATGTTCTCTAGGCCAGAGGATGCCAAACATGTTAGTTATGCTTTTCCTGCTGCTGACAGCTATAGCTTGTCAATCTTTTCCTGCCATTGGGAGGTTCTTTTTTTAATTGCCTATAAAGCCTGAGTATTTAAAATCTCACATAAGCAGCTTAGGTCCACATGTATCACAGTTTTATAGCTGGGAGGCAAGATAAAGTTTGCATTAGCATAGTCCATAGGGGATTACAGGCTCAACATTGTAAATTAAGTGAACTGAGTGTGAATCAGAATTTTGGTAGTATCGTTTTTTCTTCAGTGACTTGCAGGATAATGCAGCTTGATCAGAATACTTCCATTTTCTTGTTCATTCTCAAAAAAATACAACCTTTTCTCCACTGAAACTAATTTTTTCCTCAGTGAAAATAAACAATAGAGCCATGTAGAACTACTTTCCTTGAAATGTAGGGCATTTTATAAGTAGAGGTGTCTGTGTCCCAGAAATTGCACTCACAAACACACTGTAAACAAATGCTACCCCATAGTTGTTTTTTTTTAAGGCATGTGACATGTGCCTTATTATGTCAGGTCACATCAAACCAAGTGACATCAGAAAGGCTGATAGAGCTGATAGAATTTAACCAGTGTATACTCTTTCTCATTGTAAATACAGACAATAACTGATAGGATTTGTCCTTTCTTTTCCCCTATTCTTTGTGTAAAATGACCCACTAGTAACTCAAAGTTAAATAAAAAGATGAGCTACAGTTTTCCAAATGCAATGTGAGTAGTGACCACGAAAACTGCCATGAAAAGGTAACTCTCACTGTAACTAGCTAACTATCACCCCGAAATGTGTAAGTAGCTATTAATATAACATGGTAAATTACTGAAAAAATAGAGTAGTAGGGGTTACTGTTTATTCCTTGCATAGCACTATTAAGTTGAAAGCAAATTTATAATTATGGAGAAAATGGATTAATTTCTGTCTCAAAGTCAACTGCCAAATTCTTGTCCTTGTTTATCTATTCAAATTTCCAAGGAAACAGTATACTGCTTACAAAGATATTCAGGAGCAGTTCTACTGCAGATCAGGATAAAGAGCATCTATAAGATTTTCACACTGTCTTTTAAAGTAATTCCTCATTTTTTGTCTCAGAAAATTTTGTAAATTTTCCGTGTGGACTTACTGTCATATTGTGTGATGACACAAATATCTACCACTTGCCTATATTAATATAGTGCATAAAACAAGTATAGGAAATTTGCAATTTGAGAAAGCATGTCATGGTATTTTGACACAGTATGTCTGGGAAGTTTTTGAACTGGTCTACCATTTATAACAAAAGTGTGAGTGATCACATAGGCTAGACATCCCTAGTAATTTTCCTGCTGTACTGAATATACCTGCTGCAAACAGGTTAAGATGATACAGTGGTTAAATCATTGGGATTCTAGGCCAGACATCCCACACTGAAATCTGGAGAGAGAAACCATACTGAAATTCATTTGGTTTTGCGTGTTTCTCTTGCACAGAGCTTTTAAGCGGATGGCAATGGCAGTAAATTAACTCAGCTCCTCGTATTTGTTATTTAGAAATGACTGGGATCCCCCCGACAGAAAGGTTGATACCCGCAAGTTCCGTTCTGAACCAAGAAGTATTTTTGAATATGAGCCGGGAAAGTCATCAATCCTGGAACATGAAAGACCGGTAAGACACATAAGTGAAATGGGTAATAAAGTAAGGAGGTTTGGTGAGAGGTCATCTTTTTATAATTTACTGCTGATTATAACTATTCAGATGAATATTGAAGGATATTGAAGGTCCTTCTTCAAATATGATTTTGCAGCAATTTGTCTTTGCCTGAAGGTTGTGTTGAAAATGTGGGTTTGTCTTATGTGCTAAACTTTGATCTTCTGGTGTTTCCAAGAAATCTAACAACCACCCTGCAAACCTAATGGATGAGGAGCAGAACTGTGAATTAATTGAAACTGCTTTTTGTAATTGGCATGCATCTCCATCACTCATTTGAGTAATATTAACAGCACATGTGATAGCTGATTAATTAATGCTTAAAAATAAACTATTTGAATTTTCAGGATGTGCCTGATTGTATGTTTAGGAAGATTTTGGTCAAATACTGTTCAAGGTTGCCCAAAGAGGCTGTCAAATCTCCATTTCTGGAGGTGTTCAAGACTCGCTTGGACACAGCCCCGAGCAACCTGATCTGATTAGACCTGCTTTTAGCAGGAGGTTGGACTAGATGACCTCTGGAGGTCCTTTCCAGCCTCAATTACTTTGTGATTACTAAGTGTACATTAATGTGTAATTAGAAGTCTTTTTTCCTGCTTTCTCAATAATGATTGCAATTGTGGATTTTTTCACAAGCATGTCTGATAAACCTATGTTTAATGCATGCAAAATGACCATTCACAGAAGTTTTCATTTGCTGAAAGACACATTCACCCAGCCTTTCTAGTTTACCTTTGTGCTATCTCAATATTTTCTTATTTTAGGAAAACTGTTATGTATCAAGGGCAATATTTTCTTTTTTTGGGCTTTAATTTTGAGATTGAAATGGTTGAGGGAGTCCAGTTTTAAAGAGGAGGTTTGTGTAATCAATACTGGATTATTATTTGCTTCTGTATTGATTGTTCACATAATTTATTTTACTAATCTAAAATAAATTAAGCAAATAATTGAATTCCAGAACATGTAGCATGTCAACAGTGTGAAACATCTGTAGTAAGCACCTTTCCCTTGTGTTTTTGTGGTCTTTGCAGGAATAATTTTCATTAGCTAGAAAATACTAAGCTGTGTTTCTGTGAAATTAAGTTCTGGCAGAACTGATGTATTTTTCAAAAAGGAAATTGGTATTGCTAGCTGAACTGCTAATAAATCAATATAATTAAATGAGATTTAGTATTTATTGTGAAACTTAATTTTATTTAAAAGTGATGGCATTTGTTCTGAGCACTTTTTTGATTGCTGTGCCTGCATTATACACACTGAGGTCATTTACCAGCCTTCCCAATGCCAAAGAATAACAGCAGATTTAAGTTAAAAATAAGAAAATTACAATGATGTTTCAAGAACAGCTTCACTTGTCTAGTAAGTTACATTTTCTACTTATGTAAGTGGAAAAAAAAACATATAGGAATTGCAGTGCTGATGAATATGAGTTTTTCAATTTTAGCAAACTAATGAAATTACAAAAAAGTGAGCTTTGACTGTTCCTGAAGATTTTTTTTTATCTTGCTTATGCATTTTATTTTTGTTGCTCTTAATCAAGAGGTTGGATTTTGAGCTTGCTTTGGTCCTTAAATATTTTCATGCAGAAAAGCCTTTGTCATATTATACTTACTGAGCAGCATCAATCAAGGGCAAGATCACACTTTTACCATCTGAAGCTTCAACTAGAAGTTTAGATTTAGCTGATGTAAATACAAGGAAACACTTCTTTGTAGAATAAATTTTAAAAGCTGGGGAAATAATATTAATGAACAGAATGGAGAGATTTTTTTGTTTATTTATAATTCAGATCTGTAAAGGATTGGATAACAGGAATTAATGTAGAATACAAGAGATGAAAGTTGTGCTGACACCAGTGTATCATTATTGACTGAGGTAAAAATAGTTGGAGTAAGCTATCACAGTTTTATCAGTGTGGAATTTCTGCCGTTGATAAAGATGTTCAGCTTAGATTGTGTTACAGAAAGAACAGGTCTTGTTTTCACTAAAACATTTACTATCTTTGTGCTAATTGAGTGGGATATGGGAAGTTCAACTCAGGACTTGTTAAATGATTGTCAGTAGAGTAGGTCAAAAGATCTTTCTGTGTGTCTAGGAAAAGCTGACATCTGAAAACATTGTATTAGTTCCAAAGCCACATGAAAACTCCAAATTCTCAATTGTGTCAGTATTGCACGGTTAAGTCTTTCATCTTGATAATCTCAAAAGATTTGATTTTTAATGTCTAAAAAATTATTCTGATTGTATTCAAAGAAAATATTAATCAAAATATGGAATACAAAAATAAATAGTTTATTAACATTGTAAAAGATAGACATTTGTAACATCTGAACTAGAAATTCTTACTTTTCAGTTTTGCTGAAACCTAAAAAGTCAAAGTGAGTTTCTCCAACACTCTAAATCTGAAATTTTTTTTCTGGAATTAAATCATTTCCATATCTACAGAATTGCAGATTTGATGGCAAAATAATCTGGGAAAAAAAAATATATTTGCAACTACCTTATCTGACACTAAACTGGATAGATGAGGTTTGAAAGATCAGCGTTCCCGTTATTGACATAGATACTATTGGAATCATTTGAGATTAATGTAGAAATTAGAAACGTGGGAATAATATAATAAGATGAGATTCAGTGTATAACTAACATTTAGTGGGAAATATTATTCAGCAAATCCTCATTCAACAGATCAAAAGAATGTAAGAAATAATAAACTTTTAAAAAATGACATAGTAATAAACATTAAATGGATAGATTGGTTAGGAATAGATTATTATCTTTTTTATGGATATTAAAAGGTGAGAGTAATTTCAGGCTGCAATATCATGTAGCAGAGTTCTGACGTGAAACAGGAAATTAATGTTTTTTTCTTCTGTAATTTAAACTTCTAAGGGTATAAAACATCAACAAAAATGGAGGGGCTTGGGGTTGGTGCTTTGAGATTACAACTAAAATTAAGTGACATTAAGCTGTTGAATAGTCTTCCAAGTAATCATGTGGTGGCTGCTATTTTCCCGTTTCAATAAGCCTAAAAAATGTTACCATTTTGTAAGGTGGTACATAAGTTGTTCTGAGGAATGTTTCCATCTCTGATGTCAGCAATTCAATAAAATACTCTTCTTTTTGTCTAATATCATCTGAACCATGTTTCCTAAAATGTGTGTTTACTTTCAGTAAATAAGTAAATTGCAGCGTAGTAATTTAATCCTACTTATATGAATATAAAATTTTATTTATATTCTTTACTGGCTTTAACCTTTTTTGTATATGTGAAGTTCTTCCTTCATACATGTACTTTTCTCTATTTCTGCAGTAAAGCAAAGTAAAGAAAAATCTTGGTGTTACTTTAAAGGAAGACTAAAATTGAGACGTGATAGATGCTTTTAGGTGTTTTAGTCTAAGCACGAAAGTACACATGAGCTATTCAGATAAAACTGTCAGGTTAAATTTTAGTTCTAGATTTTTTAATATACATTCAGTATACCTATTTTCTTCTGAGTTTATATGCAAGAGGATTTTGTGATCAGAATAAATTTAAAAACATTACTCTTTTGTCAAATAGCAGAAATAGACTGGGCTTGCACCATGATGTATATATATTGTTTGTTGGTGTTTGGGGTTTTTTTTTTACTGTAGTGGAAAATGTAAAGTTTTCTTTAGAATATGCAAGTTTAATCACTTTTTTCATTGCAAGCTGGTTATCAGAACATCCTACTTGGTGTTAGTTGAGTTACTTGAACACTTTGTCAACTAAAACAATTTTCTCAGCATGTTTTAAAATGAAATCAGGAATTCCACATACAGGTATGTTTTGATACGACATTTAAAAGTACAGAGATATGGAGAGAATGAAGTCAATCTGATAGGCAAAGGCAGGGACTGTGAGAATGAAGAACCACCCACTGTAGGAGAAGACCAGGTTCGAGACCATCTAAAGAACCTGAAGGTGGACAAGTCCATGGGACCTGATGAGGTGCATCCGCGGGTCCTGAGGGAGCTGGCAGATGAAGTTGCTAAGCCACTATCCGTCATATTTCAGAAGTCATGGCAATCTGGCGAAGTTCCCAATGACTGGAAAAAGGGAAACATAGCCCCCATCTTTAAAAAGGGGAAAAAAGAAGACCCACGGAACTACAGGCCAGTCAGTATCACCTCTGTGCCCGGCAAGATCATGGAGCAGATCCTCCTGGCAACTATGCTAAGGCACATAGAAAATAAGGAGGTGATTGGTGACAGTCAACATGGCTTCACTAAGGGCAAATCCTGTCTGACTAATTTGGTTTCCTTCTATGATGAGGTTACAGCATTGATGGATAGGGGAAGAGCAACTGCCATCATCTACCTGGACTTATCCAAAGCATTTGATACTGTCCCACACGACATCCTTGTCTCTAAACTGGAAAGACATGGTTTTGATGGATGGATCACTTGGTGGATAAGGAATTGGCTGGATGGTCGCACTCAAAGACTTGTGGTCAACGGTTCAATGTCCAAGTGGAGGCCAGTGATGAGTGGTGTTCCTCAGGGGTCAGTACTGGGGCCAGTGCTATTTAACATCTTTGT